CACACACACACAAACGCACACTTTTTTGCGGCGGCGGCTGGGCAGAGGGCGACTGCTCCGGCGATCGGGCATCATCGGGGCGCGCTAGATGCAAATTGGGCCGCAGTGCACGTGAGAAAAGGTGGAGACCCTGGCGCGACGTGAAGAGAGGAAGCCGGGCCCGCTCAGGCAAGTCGCAGGCTGCGACGGAGGCAGCGCCAGGAGGGGGGGCCAGCAGCGGCGCCAGGCAGCAGCTGGGGGGATGACAGCCCAGCGGCGGCCAAGCAAAGCCAGATGGGGGAGCAGATACCACATGGGCAGGTATCGAGACCAGACCAGTCGAGAATACCAGCCTTGACGGAGCCCGCGGGGGCTGACATCGGACGGGCAGCAAACGGCTGCGAGGAGAAAAGTATGCCAAATGTGGATGCGGCCGCCACAACGATGGGGGAGCCGGCGGAGCGGGCGAACCCAGCTGTGGGGCGAGGCGCCGAGATCGGATGACCTACGAGGCGCGGTGGGAGGCGTGAAGGGCGGAGCGCAGGCTGCCACGAGTGCCCTGCACTGAGCGCGGCAAGCGCGGGCCGGCGTGAAGGCGAAGGACAAAGGGCGAAGAGGCAGCCACGCCACCAGGGGGAGCGGCGTGGAGCTGGGAGTACCAGCAGGCGGGCGGGCGGGCGCCAAGGCCTGGTGACCACTCGGCGTCTGCTGGTGGGCGGTCTGGGCGTCGCTGACGAGATCGCGACGCTAGTCGTTGCTTGTCGACGCTCATCGACGCTCATCGACGCAACATTGGCGCTTTCTCAACGATCACCAGACGCTAATGGACGCCAGTGCGCTCTGAAGACGGAATTGCGAGGGTATGCAAGGCTCATCAAGACTGAACGCGAAAACGTCGAGTCGATGTTGGTCCCCGTCGATCTTGGTCAGCGTCAATTTGTGGATCATCGTCGCGAATCGATGACGGCCGACATGGACCATGACCAAGATCGGCATCGGCAAGATCCCGGGACATCTTGGTCATGGTCCCCGTGTTTCTTCAATCGATCGACTGTGCAACGGACCAGGCCCGACTGTTGGGGCAAAAGGCCGAAACGTCGTGCACCTCGTGCAGCGTCGCGGGGCCTCACGGGCTTCCTGGGGAATCTCTTGGGCTGTCTCCGAGGGCGCCTGAAGGCTCCTGGGGTGGGGCCGCATTCGAAAGTTCTTGGTAGAGGAGGAAGAAACAGCACACAGATGAATTTTCGGAGGTCCGCGCGGATTTCTTCGATCGGCGCTGGGCCCCCCCAGGCGGCGCCTCCGGCGCCGCCGCTGGCGCGCTCCGCGCGCCAGGGAGGGAGGGTACAGTGCCGCTCCAAGAAATCCACGCGGAGCTCTGGAAGTTTCTGGTTATGCAATTTTCTTCTTAGACCTTGGGCCCCGTGGGAGACTTTTGGGGCCCTCCAGGGACCCTCGGCGAAGCTTCCCCGCACGCAGGGGATCGGGAACTCTAGAAACGATGACGTCTGCCTCCACCCTCGCGTCCACCATGTCGCTGAGAAGAGACACCGCCTGTTGCCACTGCCTGCCTTTTCCGCACGCTATGACAGCCGCAATGCACTTGCCAGGGCTGACATGGGAACGCTGCCGTAGTGCTTCGCAGGACAACTGCGGCGCTGCGCTGACATGCGCTGTCCGTCCGCACTTCTCCATGGCCGCTTCAAGAGAATAAACTCCATGTGGATATTCCCGCCGACGTCTAGCAAGCAGACCAAAGTTAAACCACACTGGTTCCATTCCAAGGATTGAACGAAAACGGCGAGTAGTAAAGAGAACGAAGGGGGAGAATGCACAATGAGGACGACGACGAGGACAGAAGGAGGGAGGAGGCACGAGGAACCAGGGGGGGGATTGAGGGAGGAGTGAGTGGAGAGAAACGAGGAGGGTGGACGAGGAGAGACAGGACCAATTCCTTGGCCCAACGCGCCAAAAGCGTACTAGAACCTCCGGCAAGAGGCTCGCAGCGCGTGTGTGCGTGGTACTTGGCGCGCCCGAGGCGGCCCCTGGGAGTCCCTGGAGGGAAAATCTTCCAACAACCCTCGGCCGGCACGTCCTCCTACCGGCTAGAAGTACAAGAAATATTCAAATAGTCAAATCATGCTTTTCCGCGAGTTAACAGGACACCTACGAAAAACTCAATTCATACTTTCAGCATCTTCGAAAATTCAACCATGCATGATGGAGGACGGGCGAGACGGTCGGAGCAGAGATGGCTTTTCTACTGGGCGCGGCCCTCTGGACCCCGAGGATAGCCCCACGATCGCCTTGAGCTGGCCCAAAGAAGGGTCCGAAAGCAAGGACCGATTGCTGAGAGGCCCGAGAAGGGTTCCGAGACAGCCCAGGATAGCCCCAAGGTGGCCAAAGATAGCCCCAGATGAACATACATCGTTCAAATACCAAAACCAGCGTTTCAATGAATTCGGCTCTCTCTTCAAGAGGCCAGCAACATGCCCCCACGATGCCCGAGTCCTGTGAGAACAACGGCCAAGTCGCTGAAAAATGGTTAGCCTTGGGCGCAGGAGGGGCTCTGGCCGTCGGGCCGCTCCTCGGATCTAGGTCGAGGGACCTAATTATTCGTGGCCGAGGCCCTCTGTGGCCAGGGAAGCCCCTGCGTTCCTTATTCGAAACTTCTCAGAACTTCTTGTGGTGGCACGATGACTGTAGAAGGTTGGTTGAATGGTTTTGATGCGCTCGCACTTTCGCTTCCCATGAGCTGATGCGGTCTCAATATGGCTCCCAAATCGCCCAAGGTGGCCCCAGGTGGAGCCAAAAGGCGTTCCAAGAGGGCTCCGACGACCCCAAGAACGCCACAGGAATACCCCAGGGAGGCTCCATGCGCGCGGCGTTCTGGCGAGAACCATGCTTTGAGAAGGACCTGCCCCCATCTTTGTACCTTTTGGACGCTGTTCACAATGTACGTGCGCAGCGATAGCACAACAACCACATTTTGGAAACGACCACCCCTCCATCGGTGAACTGTTGGAGGCGAGAAACCACATGTTGAAAACGCCCCCATCCATCCATGTAACGGCTGGGAGCGTCTATGGCGAGCGTGCGTGGCGCCATAGCGAGAACCACGATTTGAACAACTCCCGCCTCCACCCATGTAAACATTCGGAATTACAAATTTCGGGGCCACACACGGGGAGAACCCTCACGCGAAGCGCCTGGCCCGCTGTACCGACCCGTCAGATGAAGAAAGGTTGTCTAGACATATACACCTATACACATACATACATACATACATACATACACACATACATACATACATACATGCATGCATGCATACATACATACATACATACATACATACATACATACATACATACATACATACATACGTACACACATACATACATACATACATACATACATACACACACACATACATACATACATACATACATACATACATACATACATACATACATACATACATAAATACATACATACATACATGCATGCATGCATGCATGCATGCATGCATGCATGCATACATACATACATACATACCTACATCTACATATGCACATACATACGTACATACATACATACATACACACGTACTTACATACATACATACATGCCTACATACATCCATACGCATACATATGTATACATGTACCTGTGTAGAACTCTGTTAAAAAGCTTTCTAGACAGCGTGGACACCCCCCAAAACGTGGCTTTGGCCACATATGCTGTGCACTATCAGTGGAACAATCTATGTGGTGCAATTTGCGTGGTGCATCCAATGTTGTGCAACCGAGCATGTGCAACCTATGTGGTGCCATCTATGTTCTGATATATTTGCGGGGTAATTTATGTGGCGCAATATGTGTGGTGCAATCTATGCTGTGTAATCCAATGGCTGAGCTTGAACTTGTCAACTCCACTGCTGGCGCAATCACCCCACCCACCCGCCCGCAACTTGGTTTGCAAAACCCATGCGGGAGCGATTGCGATGAAAGCTGGGTGTTGACTGGTGTACCTTTGCGGCCGTGCTAACCCGCGGATGCTCGCGCGCGCAACGGCCAGCTAGTTTGGCGCGGCCGGCGCGAACTCGGTGGCGCTGACCGCTCGGCACATCCCAACGGGCACTTCCCTGAGAGTCGGCGACTTGGGCGGGCGCGGTACCATGGCATCGTCGACGACGGTAGACACGATGATGTTAGTAGCGATGCTGGGATGGTGCAAATTCATATCTAGGATGGACGATGGGGCAAACTCATATATAAATTGCAATACGAAAAGGGGGGTCTTTAACCCCGGGGGGGAGGGTAGTAGAACCTATCTCCTTTTTGGAAGGGAGAATCACCGCGCTTGACCACCCCCCCTGCTGGCGCAATAATCCCAACTTGGTTTGCAAAACCCACGCGGTGGCGATTGCGATGAATGTTTGCGGTTGGCTGGTCATTTTTGCGGCCGCGCCGACCCAAACACGAGCGCGCATCGGCCAGCTTGTTTGGCGCGACCTCCGCGGCCGCGGTGGCGCTGACGGCTGGGCACATCCCAGCGGGCACTTCACTACGAGTCGGCGACTTGGGCTGGCGCGGCATCGTGGCAACGTCGACATCGGTAGACACGATGATGATATTGCGGTGGGGGCATTGGATAAGGAAGGGTTGGATAAAGAATCCAGGGTCTGGAAGCCGGTGGAACTCCAATCGTGGATTGGCCATGGATATCACCGCCGCCCTCATCAGATAAGGGAACCTTCAGGGTCTGCAGCCTTTTGGGCACATTCCTTAACGAACGCCCCCACCGTAGCGATGCTGGTGACGATGTTAATAACGACGACGGCGCGTCCAGCGCGGGCGCCGATGCTGGTCACGCCGACGACGATGACGGCGTCCTCGCGTCCGCCTTGAAGGTTTTGGAAAAAAGTTCGACGTGCGCGCGCGGCCGACGCGCGGGAGTGGCCCGCGTGCTGTTCTTTGACACGAACCGTGCCCCCCAGCACGCGCGCAAGGGCGTGCGAATGATGTCGGCACGCAGCGCGAAAAGGCCCGTTTGGCAGAATTCCACGAACATGTTGGAAAACCTATGGTTCCCTCTAAGATTCGCAAGAGCGCGAGCGCAAGCTTTTTTTGGAAAATCCGCATTGCGAAACAATATATATATATATATATATATATATGTGTATGTGTGTGTGTTGGATACTCGGTTTTGAACTTGCTACGAAACCGAAGGTTTTGGACGGATTCCGGCACGCGCGCGCGCGACGACGCGCGCGCGCGCACTTCGTCCCATCTTTTGCACAAGGATTCTCACGACGGCACTGGCGCAAGGGCGTTCGAACGATTTCGACATGCGCGCGCGCGCGAAGCCCGTTTGGTAGAATGTTGTGTAAATGTTGAAAAACCTATGGTTTTCTCAAGAATGCGCAAGAGCGCGCGCGCAAGCTTTGGTTGAAGATCCGCGTTGCGAAACCCAGTGTTTGTTAAATGTGTTTTTCGGAGACTAGATTTTGACATCCTTGCGAAGCCGGAAATTTTGGAACAATTCCGGCATGCGCGCGCGTCGGCGCGCGCGCGCGTGCACTTCGCCCGGTTTCGTGCAAAATATCATCGCGGCGGTACGCGCGCAAGGGCGTTCGAACGCTTTCGACATGCGCGCGCGAAGCCCGTTTGATAGCATATAATGGACATGTAGAAAAACTTGTGGGTTTCTGAAGAATCAGCAAAGCCGCATGCGCGCGCGACAGCGCGCGCGTGCGCACTTCGTCTCCTTTTTTGTTGCAAAGGATTCTTGAAAACTGATGGTTCTTGATGAACGAGTGTGCGCGCATTTTGTTCTTGTTGCAGAGGATGGCGGGGGGGGGCGATGCCGGTTGGGCTGACGTGGTATGAATTCCCAAATTGTAAGGGGTCCTAGCGGGTTCATATATCAGCCCCGCGACTCCGACGAAAGACCCATGGGGGCCCATCCGGAAGGAAAAAACTTCTGGGGCGCGCCCAGAAACCCAGGTGGTCCAGTTTACGCGGGGAAAAACAAATCCCTGGCGAGGGGTTCGAGCACGGGGGCTACCCCCGCCTCAAATTCCGGAAGAGGAATGAATTCTCAGCCGCGGGGGAGCCCGCGCGAGGGGTCCCACCTGCCCCAGCGCCAGCGCAACCAGAGGAGGCAAAGCGTGAGAGCCCAGATTGTAAGCGCAATGCAGCAACACTCTAATAGTGGTTGCACTCGGGAGTTGTGCTAGTAATAGGGAGTTGTACCAGGGAGTCCTACTGGGAGTTGCACTAGGGAGTTGGACTAGTACTAGGGACTTGCACTAGGGAGTTGCGCTGGGGAGTTATACTAGGGAGATGCAATAGGGAGTTGTACTATTACATTTTATTACTAGGTTGCACTACGGATTTATGCTACACATTGTATTATCACTAGGAGTTGCACCTGGGAGTTGTACTAGGGACTTGTACTAGCGAGTTGTACTAGCACTCGGGAGTTGCATCAAAAAGTTGTACTGGTACTATTTGTGCTAGAGAATAGCACCAGGGAGTTGTACTAGGGAATTGTACCAGGGACTTGCACTACAGGCTGGGAAAGGTTTTCTCTTGACGCCGCCACGTGGCCGAACGCCGGATACCAGCAGGCATTCTGTCAGTGGTGGCTGTGCCACGTGACGTATACCATTCGGCACATCCCAATGTGTCTTGGGACCCCCCAGGGGGCATAACGTCACAAGTGTAATGATGTCCACCACGTGTGTGAATCAATTTTTCTTTCAGTTCCATACATCACGTTACATAACTAACACAAT